TTTGGTTTTAATTATGGAAATTTAAAATTTTTGTTTTGTGTCACTCGAGGAGATTAGAAAAGGGGGAAGTAGCACGGTGTCCAGCGAAGGTTCTGGTCTAAGTAGGTCATCGTTTTACCTAGGTCCAATGGTCACATTTTTTTTAAGTTAAAATCTTAAGGCTCCATCACGAGATCCTACCATTTTGATTTAGAACTAACTATTCAGGAATAAATATTTATTGATGTCAAAATTAAAGTAAAAGACATGAAAAATAATTATGCAAACACACCGTAATATGGTAAGGTATCTACTTTTGTAAGGTCAAAATAGAAAAAGAGTTCGTCAGTCTGTTCTTCAGTGAAGCTAGGTACTAATTCGAATGGAAAAGAACGAGAAAGAAAGCTCCATCGTACCTATTCACAAAATAAAATATGTTTTACAAACTCGCGAATACATTTTTTAACATTACATTATTGTCCCTACCCATATTTACTGCACGGTTGGCGCGGTGGCTGGGCAACTGGCTGCCGTGCAACGTGTCACGGGTTCAATTCCCGCACGGAACAACTCTTTGTGTGATCCACAAATTGTGGTTCCGGGTCTGGGTGTGATGTGTATGTGGGTTTGTATGTTTGTAAACGCACCCACGACACAGGAAAAAACACTAAGGTGGGACAACGTTAACGACAACAGAGAAGTGGTTAAAAAGATAGAAAGAACGATATTATAATTGTGAATTTCCAAATTCACTGGACCATTTTGAGCTTGGTTCATATCGGATTCGCAAGAATAGTAGATGTATAAGGAAGAAAAAGTCAAGTAGGTACCTATTCTCTCTGTGGGACAGCCATGCTTGGGCATGAATGGACCGGTGCGACCAGAACGCTACAAATACCTAAACTTAAAACCGACGTGAAACAAGTTGAAACAACGCTAGGATTGACGTTACCAAAGTTAAGGTCCAATTCTAGAACGCTGCAAATATCATAATCAGAGTTTCAATTCAACTCACACACAAATAATGCATTCGCATATTTAAATGTTAATGTAATACATAGAATAATACAAATTGCATCATTTGGATGTGAATTGTTAACCTGCATCTAATAACACATTCAAATAAAATAGATCGTGCTTAAATTACAAAGTATGCTATGCTATGCACCAATACTTTGTTTACAAATACGCGGAGATGTTTTCCTACTGGATTTTGAACACTTTAGCTACTACTTAATATCATAATAATACCAAATATATTTAAAATTAAATTAGGATTAAGGTCTTTGTTTCCGATTCTTATTGTTTAATGTTTATGTTTACATACGGTGAGTGATGTGTACATCTGTTTAAGATATAGGTACATACAAGAACTCTGTCTCAGTCATAAAATTAAGAAAATGTATTTTATGTATATTGTTGATCTAAGTACCTTATTAATTAAAAAAAACACTTTGTGGACTTAATTTTTTATTATATAATTATATAATTGGAGAAATATTTTTCTCATAAAATAATGTTGAAATCGCCAATTCGCCTTGAGCAAGCGTGATGGTTAATGCTCAAACCTTCTCCGTGTTAGAATATGCGTTTGCTCAGCAGTGGGCACTTATAGGCTGATCATGTAAAAAATGTGTAAAGTATTTGATAATGTGTGGAAGAGCCATGCTTCGGCATGGATGGGTCGGCTCGACCGGAGTGATACCACGGCCTCACAGAAAACCGGCGTGAAATAACCACAGCGTTGTGTTTCGCCGTGTGCGTGAGGTTACCGGAGGCCCAATTCTTCCCCTCCCCCAATCCCTAAATCTAAAAATCCCTAATCCCTAAACGGTCGGCAACGCACTCGTAACTCCTCCGTTGCGAGCGACCATGGGTGGCGCTGATTGCTGATCCTGATCCATGATCCTACATAAAAAGAAACTACTGGCGAGGTATAAACAATTAAGACTTATAATCTAAATATTACCTGATACTATAAAAATAACACTGATTGAGCCATTCAAATAATTTGTATAATAATCCAAATAAATTATACATGTCATGTTTTTTCTTGTCTTTCGGAATTAACAAATTCTTTCGATGATATAAATATATTGATTTGAATTATCGTCTGACTCGGTACATTTTGTGCTAAATATAAATTATTTTTATCTAATTATGGTTTACTTACATGACAAATTAAAATAATACGTCTACAATACTTTTTTATCATCTAATTGACGGACTGAATAGGTTTTTACCCTGTCATCATTCCTAATATCCTTCAGTTACACCAACAGAAATTTTGTCATCGTTGAATATAATAGAATATACGAGTCTGTCTGTCTATGGCATCATAGGTCCTAAACGAATGAGCCGATTTCAATTTAGTTTTTTTTTGTATAACATGTGTGTTGGGTCGGTTGGGCGAGTGTTCTTAGACATGTTTGATGAAAATCGATTGAGCCTTTCAAAAGTTATGGGGGGTTAAAGTGGGGAAGAAAATCCGAATGTCTGCAAATATGTACAAGTGGGGTATAACATGAAAGGTTATGACTTGTACGTCACAAATAACAAAAAAATTAATAAGTTTGACGTGTCTGTCTGTGTGTATGTGGCATCATAGCTCCTGTAGCTTGTGTTTTTGTGTCGGGGATTTTTTTAATTTTTAATTTATATGTATCTTGTTATGAGATAGGGCGACAAACGAGTAGACTTGTCAGCTGATGGTAAGCAATCGGCGTCGCCTATGGACATCCGCAACACGCAAGAGCTACACGTGCGTTGCCGGGGATTAGGGATTGGGGAGATAGGTTTACCAGTAACTTTACTCGTTCAATGAAATACAAAGTAATTGACGACGGTTTTCTACGAGGCTGGGGTATCACTCCATCCGACTAAAAGCATAAGCAAATAGTTCCCAGCTTTGTTTTTGATCATCTTCATGTTCAGTCATCATGTTCGATAAAGTTTTTTTTTTTAATTATACACCAACTTACATTTACATATTAAAAAATTACAAACTAAACAGAAAACTTACATGACATAATTATGACAAAATTATATAAAGTTTTATTATTAATTAACACACACGTTACACAAAAAAAAACAAAAAGTAAAAGAAAAATGAATACTTAATTAATTGTAAGAGATGGTGCTGGGGGTGGCAGATGACTCCAGGTAGCGAGTAGCGCGACTCAGGAGTCTCAGTTCAGTACTCACAAAGAGATCTAAGGATTCGTTATCAAGTAAAATATTATTAATAAGGGTAAGTGCGAGGAACAGAGGACTGGTCTTGAGGGTTACGGTACCAGATTCAGGTATCGCAAATAGTTGGCGTTGACGAGGTCGTAGTGTGTGTCTGATAGGTAGCGGAATGTTGAAGGAAATGTTTTGGAGTAACGAGGAATTGAAGTGAGAACCACGAATTATATGGATGGCATACTTAAAAAGAGCAAGGTGTCTCCTAATTTCCAAGCTTTTGGTATGTTACCATTCCTGGCACAAACGGCGTTGGATAAAGTATCAAAATCATTTATTTCATAAGACTATTATAGGTAACTAGCTTTTACCCGCGACTCCGTTCGCGTGGAATAGTGACTTCCTGCAGATTTTTGGTATAAAAACTATCATATGTCCTTTCTCGAGTTCCAAACTATGTCTGTACCAAATTTCACAGAAATTGTTTTAGTAGTTTAGGCGTAAGGAAAAGACAGATAGAGTTAATTTCGCATTTATAATATTAGTTTGGATTTTCAACGTTAACACAAAAATTTAAATATAAAAAAATGACAACCTGTCTGTCTTTCCTTAATCAAGCTATTTGGTCTTCAGCAATGAAATTAACTTATTCATTCTAAAATTTCGAATCCAATGGAGAAGAACGAGCAAGAAACTCCATAGTTACTCTTTTTAAATCAGTTTCACAATCATATTATTTGTTGCTTTATTAAGTTGATTCCATCTTGCAGTGCTACACTTATACTTATTTAGCCAAAGAAACAGGAAAAAAAAATAACTTCATGAACTACCTATACAGTTTAGAGTAAAGATATTATAAAACAAACTTATCTTTTTTATATGTCTATTTTTAATAAATTGATTGGAGTCAGATCACAATCTTATGACACTACATTTTTTTTTTAAATAAACGAACGTCATTCTTATGTTTTAAATCGTCACAAATCACGTTACAAATATTACATATCATGTTATCATTACTGTCATTACTCAACAATAACTTTATCAATTACAATTCTATAGAAGTTAGATTAAGAAATTCTAGATGACCCGATGATCTTAGTGACCCGGAGGGATCCCAGTTTATACCCTATAAACCGGGATCTCTTTGCCGGAATCTGGATTGGTCATTATCATTATTAAATTCTAAAAGTTCCTTTTAAAGAGTCTAGAGTCTGACTTCGGGTCTAAATTAAAGTAAGCACTACTTCTTATAAGGGTTTTTTGGAATTGGTTGGAATTTGAGGCAAACGGTGCCTATGGACACCTACGGCACCAGAGGAGTCATAGGCACGTTGCCGGCCTTTCAAGAAGGGGAGGCGATAATACCGAAGCCGACAGATCATTCTATTTGGCGGGGCACAAAGATTCGCATAAATCTCACAGTTGTTGACTGCCAACCATCTTTATGATCGGGATAAAAACGTATGATTGAGTACATAACTGGCCATAGGACTCAGACCGTAACATTAACACTGCATGGAAGACTGTAGTTATCAGTTACAATATATTTTTAGTCAGTGTAATATTTTCACATATCAGAATCTCTTTCTCTGATCAAAATATCTTGACTGCACGATTGGTGCGACGTGTCGCGGGTTCGATTCCCACACGGAACAACACTTTGTGTGATCCACAAATTGTTGTTTCGGGTCTGCACGCACCCACGACACAGGAGAAAATCCTAGAATGGAGCAACATTTAAAAAAAAACATCACATTGCGCAGAAAAAAAATCTTGATACACAACTAGCCAATATGCTTAAGAGCGGATTCATATATATAATCAGTGTCACTATCTCTGTAGCCAGTACCGTCGGCACCGCGTAACATAATGTACTATATATTTGTGTTACCACTGCTTATCCTATCGCTATGGGTGTACTCAAAATGGCTTTCCATGAAGGGCTATTGGAAGAAGCTTGGAGTCCCACACGAACCGGTCCATCCCTTATTCGGCAGCATGACGTTTTTGCAAAAGAAGAATCCGGTTTGTATTCATTTTTATTGACTTTTTGTTTTGTGGCTTGATTTTTTTTCATATTAATGTAGGAATTTACGATGTTTATACTTTTCTTCGTGGCTTTTTTTTAATTACTTTAGATGGTGACAATAAGTCTTAACTAGATTTGACTGAACATCCGATACGGTTATTTTCAACATAGGAATTAACTTTAGAACGAAAAAGATACTTATTTAAATCGCCAATAAACGATTACCTAATTAAATTATAATAATTATATATATTACTGTTATATTAATAAAGCGTTAATGAGCTATTGTAATTCCTTTTAAGGTATTTCTGTATGATCTATACCTTTTTGCAAATTGAGGGTGCAACTTTGCAATTATTTCCCAAACCATTCAGATATGGTAAAAGGTACAATTTTTAAGAATAAAATAATCTATTATCACTAAATACCAAGTAATCAAAAAATTTTTTTAGTTCAAGGTTATACAGAACACAACATATAATTATATATTTTTGTCAATTTATTTGGGACTAATGTTATTGTATAACATTGCTTATCACATTTTTTTGTTTCGTATATGTTATAAGTTACGTAATTGAAATAATTAAGAAACTAACAAATTCGTAAAAGGCACTAATGAATCAGTGATAAATCAAAACAAAATTATTTTAACAATGAACTTAAAATGTAGGTACTATATGTATATATAGGGCTTGAATCTCGACAAACACGGTGTTACAAGCTTTCTTATGCTTTGTTTAATAGGAAAATCATGCAAGGTCTTCTCCCGCCCCTGGTGAGGCGAAAGGAAGCGTCAGACTCTTAGTGACTGAACACTATCCCCTTTCCTTCTCCTCATTTGAATCTGGACATTATTTCACTTGTACCCGCAATCCTGGCTGAAATTGTCTAGTACTGCTATTTTTTCTTCTGGGCGAACCATGATCCCCTTCTGACCAATGAACAATCATTCAAACTTTTTTTTTGACACAAGCTCACCACAGCCTCCAAAAGCCGCTGCAACTCCTGTTAGTCAGGAGCTACAGCAGATGCTACCATGAGAATATCGAAACACTGAAGTCCAGTCTCGCTGAGCCATTTCAGACTTCAGTGTTTTTTTTAAACAAAATGTATTATTTTGTGAGAAAAATAAACCACTTTCATCTTTAATCGGAATTAAATGCACTAGACAGAAAAAAGTTACAGTTTAAGTGTGTAATACCACGAGCGATCAACATCACAGTTGGCTTACACAGGTACCTACTAGCTTCCGTCCCTAGAAAGCGTTGTAAAACTTGATTAAGTCTTCAGGATTAAAAAGCTCAACATGATTTTTGTACTGTATACATACCTTGTACATATAAAATATATATTAAGACTAGCAGACCCAGCCACGCGTTGCTGTGGCTAAAGTAGATAATATTGTGTATCCTATCTTTCAAGTTGAATCAAAATGCACACGGAATGCAAATCAAATATAAAATCGGTTTAGTAGTTTAGGAGTCCATCGCGGACAAACATGTGACACGAAATTTTTATATATAAAGATATAATGTGTATATTATGTGTAAAAAAATCAGGAAAACCCTGACCCAATTCTAAGTTCCTTAAATTATTTCATGCTGACTTAAAAACTGGGAAAATTCTGCATTCACAACTGTCGCTGAAATACTTTTTGCAACTGTGGTCTTTCGTCTAATTAGTTTAAAGTAGAATTTAGTAAAACGCTACAAAGTTACTTTTACTACAGATGTTATTTTTTATTTTGCTTTCGTTTTAAACTGTGGCATTTTGAGACACGTAAATTTTTCGAATATTTAATACAATTATCTTACATAGAAACATTACAAACATATTTTTATTTTTATGTGGTATAGAACGGGTGCCGCACTCGACAAGACGCGCTATAAAATATAATATAATATAATATAATTTGGTTTTATGAAATATTTGTAATACTTACCTATTAGTTAGATTCGTACCATTCTATCTATGGACGGACGGATAGCAGAGACTTAGTAAGTAATAGGGTATTTACCCATTGGAAATGTACCCATAAAAATGAGACTTTAAATAACACATTTTCAGCCGGGGTTGCGGGTTAAGCGCAATGAGTCACCGTGGCCTCTCGGCCCAGAGCAGGAGAAGGAACGGGGAGGTTTTTAGTCAGTAAGAGTCTGACACTCTCGCCTAACCCTGGGCGGGAGAAGTCATTTTATGATTTTCCCCTGACAAAAAAATAACACATTTTATGTACACGTCGATTTTGTTCTATTGCTAAAGGCTGCTTTTTATCAACACAGCACGCGGACGAAACCGCTGGCGAAAGCTAGTGTGATATAAAGTTTTAACAATTTTACATTTTTATATTCTTTGGGGGACAATTTTATTTAAAGGGAATATTTTATTCGACGTAACAGTTATCATATTTGGCTATATCAGTACAAATCAATTGCATAATACAATACATATATATTTTTATGTCACTTGGCTCAAAGCACAGGATCATCTGATTTATACATAATCTGTGGTAGTCCGGCATTCCGACCATATAGAATACAAATTACATACATAGAACCAAGGTTAATAAGGTTATCACCTTAAATTGTCAGTGTTATATTTGGTTTACATTCATAAAACGTAATTAAGATAACTCTTAACATTTTATTTTCCATATCATACACAGCCGGCTTGTAACAATATTTTTAGGTAGTGTTATGAAGAGTTGGAAATTAAATCTGAAGCACGATGATAAATCGCGGCTCGGCTTAAAGAGAGAGAAGGAACGAGGTGGGTTTTAGTCAGTAAGAGTCTGACATACCCTCTCGTCTTACCTTGAGGGAGAAGAGACCTCCGGAAACACCGCCCGTCAAAAAAAAGTGCGGTTTTGCGAGTCTTTTAGCTCACGTGTAGATCTAGGTCTCGTTTACTAAGACCTAACTGAAGTTTGAATTCCTATGTAAACACAAATCTCCTCCCCTCCCCCTATAGCCAATACTCCCCACCCTTAATACCTAAATGATTGATTGATTGATTTAAAAAAAAACGTCGCGCTACACTCGTGTTTTCTCCTGTGTGTGCGTTTACAAACATACATACACATGACACCCAGATCTAAACAACAATATGTGAATCACACAAAGTGTTTTTCGTGCGGGAATCGAACCCGCGACATGTTGCACGGCAGCCAGTTACCCAGCCACCGCACCAATCGTGCAGTCAAGATATTTTGGACAGAGAAATATATTCCGATATGTGAAGACATTTCACTGACTAAAAATATATTGTAACTGATAACTACAGTCTCCCATAATATTTGTTAGTCATTGTTATGGTTTACATAACAAGATTAGGTACGTGAATTAAAATAATTACAGCATTTATCGTAACCATTTCCAAAGTGGCTAATTACATTGACATGCAAACTACAAAATGAGTCTTAAGACGATAATTATAGACATTATATTCGATTAAACTTTGTTTTATTATTTTACAAGGACGTCGTGTTGGTCGAAACGTTTTATATTTGAGCACAACGTTGATAAAATTGTATTTTATCTTTCGTTTGTCGCGTGATTGTTTTCGTTGAGGATGTCAATGCAAATTCTATTCACGTGTAGCAGATAATATTACAATATACTAATATTTCTCATCCTTCCCCTCCTCCATCCCTTCTCTCTTCTCTTCTCTTCTTCTTATAAAAAACGTTGCCCTACACTTGGATTTTCTCCTATGTCGTGGGTGCGGTTGTATGTTTGTATACAATTTAACATGCACATGACACCCAGACCCGGAACCGAAGAAGTTACTTCTCATAACTTCTCCGGTATTGCGGGTGTCCATGGGTAGCGTCGAATGCTTACCATCATATTGTAATCAGTCAGATCATTTGCCTAACTATTTCACAAAAAAAAATGAAGATGAAGAGTTTTGTTTGCTTGTTGAAAGGCGCTGATCAACGGAACTACATGGTCAAATTAAACAGTTACTTATGTGTTGAATAGTGCTTTTATCGAGGGTGGCTAGACTATAAACAATTACGCTACAATCAATAGAAACCAGCAGCAATTGAAATCAGGCAAGAGTAGCTCATTACGAGTATTTCAATAAAAACTACTTTTCATAAACCTGTAACTTCAGTATATCTACAACGCTACTCACATACCACTGTTCGTCACAACTTGACAGGCCATGAGTGTGCTGTTCAACGTTGTCGGATAGATTTCTCATAGAACCATGAAAGCAGCAACAAATAAATAAATAAAACATTTTATTAGCCACCTGTTTTGGTTTCACATATCTGAGTAGTTTTTTATTCAACAATTATCCAGTTCAACACAGTCGTTTAGGAGTTGCGCACCCAAAATTAGTACATTTACTGTGTGAATGGCCATGATAATCGATATCGATCCATAGACATCATTATTATGATCGATCTTCGATCTAATACAATGACTTTCCATGTATTTATCATTGATGGATAATATAAGATAAACATATTGTGACGGAAAAGTGGTTCAAACTCTTTGACATCATGACGTCAATGGATGGTTGTCAAACGTTGCCTAGAGATTGTAAATTTCGTCGTGATTTGTCAACACGAGTTGGCCTAATCGGTAAGGCGTGTGGGTTACACCACAGAGACCCCGAGTTCGAGTCCCGCCGTAAACATGAAGTTTTTTAGTTGATAGAAGTTTTGTCGAACTTTCTGGAATTATTTGTGTGAAAGAAGTGAAAAATTAAAGAGCGAGAAGGAGAATAAATAAAAATGAATAACGAAATTATTGGAAGGTTCTGGAGGCATGACGATCAAAAAGAATAACGAAATTGAATGTTCCAGAACCTGACCGGGGGTATATAAGCGGAACTGCGGCTCACCGCTGGCAGTTGAGTTCTAAGTCTAAAGCGATTCGGAAGAAACGGAAGAAGTGAAAAAGAAGAAAAGTGAGTGAAATAGTGAAGTGCAGTGAAATAGTGAAGTGCAGTCAGTTAAGTGAAGTTAGCGTGAACGGCAAAG